CCCAAACAACTGGAACAGAGGCTATTCCCAAAACAGTTGCCTGTATGTGGGGTATGTTCGCCTAGCTGAGTTGCCTTGTCTGGCCTCAGGGGGAGAGGAAGCACCTAGCCTCAAGGAGACTTGATGTTCCGAGGTCGGGTGGAATATGGGGGGGGGGGATCTCTACCTGCTCAGAGGAGAAGGAGGAGAGGGGTCGTGGGGGGAAGGATTGTGGGAGAGTGACTAGGAGGGGGCAGTGAGTGGGATGTAAAGTGAATAAGTAATAAAATTAAATTAAATGTAAAAAAAAAATTATTGGGTGAACGTTAGCCAGAGGAGTGTGACCAGAAGATTGCATCCCTTCCAGGCCTGGCCCAACATATCTTTCACACACGTTACCCTATGTCCTTCCTCCTGAGGAAGGTGAGCACACAGTCCTGGGATGTGTGTGCTGATGAGTTGGAACAATAAAATAAAAGACAGATCTTTGACGCTGCTTGGAGAAAGAGCTGCAGACAAAGGAAGGCCCGTGTTAGCCTGAGAGACAGCTTGTGCTGCCACACGGGGTGACTCACTTGTCCTTGTCACAGCAGATAGACCTACCTCAGTGACACTGAGGCGATTTATCTACTGTCCCCTTGACCGTGTCTCTAGCACCTCGCACACTCTTTCCTTAGAATCCTCCTTCCCCTCTTTCAGTAACTCACATCCTAAGAGATTATTCAAGGTCTAAGCCAAGTTCACCTGCCTTGGAGCAGCCTTCTTCCTCTCCTGCCCGCCACGGTGATCGCTCTTTTCCTCGGTGCCTACAGTGCTTTATCACAGATGCTTCTCGAGTGCTTATCGTACATAGCTCGAGCTCTGCACATCTTGGATTTTTTTTTCTGGTAAGATTTGAGCACTTCAAGGTCAAAGATCGTCTTATGCTATTTGCATTGCTCTGAAGTACGTGGCGTGCTGTTGTGCCTGGAGAGTTTTTGATAAATATGCATGAGGAAAATGAACTTATATGTGTTAGCTTCAGTCAAGCCCCTTTTCCTAAGAACAGCCTTTCACTGCTGAAGCATGAAGGCATGCAAGCTATCATTTACTGGATTTGGGTGTTTTTCTTGCTGTTTTCGGCAGTAGACATATTCTAATGTTTCCTGACAACTGCTTAGAGCGGACAGAAGTCACGCGCTTATCAAATTTCAGATGGCAGAGACTAGAAGTAATAAATAATGTACGACATGACAGAATCAAACTTAGACATGTTGGAACGAAGCACATGACATTAAATAAGGATAAATGACAAAATTAGATTTGCAGAAAAACAAGCTCTGCCGTTCCAGTTTGGAAAACACGGACAACGTCTATTTATGGGGGACACTTACCAGCTCTGATCATACACTAGGCTAACATAAGCCATGAGTGACACACAAGGCCCTGACCACAATTTGGCTGAGGGCATTGGGTGACAGAAAAATGCTGAGGCTCCAGAGAGGCACAAACATGAATAGTGTCTATGTGATGTCCTGTTGAAGGTAGATACAACCTTAGTGTAGAATAAGGTTCATAGAAGCAAAGGACCAAAGAGAATCAAATCCTTCCATTTTAACCTAGTTAGTTAGACCCATGGGTGAACTTTTACCTTTGGAATACTGGTGGGACTCTTCCATCTAAAGACTACTGAGTGGTTTTTGATATTAATCTGGTGCCAGTAGGGCAGGCTCACCCCTGGAGTGTTCTGATTTAGAAGAACCTAGATGGTCTTAGAAGCCTTGCTTCTAATGACTTATCAGAGTTGTCCTTCAATGACGTCCTCTTTTTAGAATCTGGAAGATGCTATATCAACTGTAAACTCAAGTCATCTGTTTTAGTTAGGGTTTGACTGCTGTGAACAGACACCATGACCAAGGACAACATTTAATTGAGGCTGGCTTACAGGTTCAGAAGTTCAGTCCATTATCATCAATGGCAATGCATGGCAGCATCCAGGCAGGCATAATGCAGGAGGAGCTGAGAGTTCTACATCTTCATCTGAAGGCTGTGAAGAAAATGCTGGCTTCCAGGCAACTAGGATGAGGATCTTAAAGCCCACACCCACAGTGACACACTTCCTCCAACAAGGCGACACCCCTAAACAGTACCACTCCCTGGGCCAAGCATATTCAAACTACCATATCACCCTTGGGGTAAGGGAGAAAAGGCACCCCCCCATCCACTGTGAGCTCGGCTTGGAAAACCACTATAGGATGGCATAGATGAACTTGTTCCTGGAAATCCAGACTTTCTAAAAGCTAGGATCAGAGCTTTAGTAAGATGGCTGGAGCATGGGCCTTGGCACCAGAGCACTAGGGAAATGAATGCAGGTTTGACAGAGCCTAGAACATATCATGGGTGCACCTGTCAGGAGTGCACCTGTCAGGGGTGCACCTGTCAGGGGTGCATCTGTCACAGGTGCTAGTATTTGGATTGCAGGTGCAAGCCACCACACCTGGTTCAAATATATTATTCAATGATCAAAATGATCTTTAAATTAGTCATATGTTACAGAACACTGGGGAGAAGGCTATCACCTTACATTACTTCAGAGGTGCAGTCTGAGAAGAGCATATCTCCTCTGGATTAAACTGCCATCGTCCCTGTCAGTTAGACATAGGAACAATCATCTCTTGTCTGGATGCCTTAGAAGGGAAATGGTCAAGTTGGTTTTCATCAAAAGGAAGAACATGAGAATGTTAAAAAGGACTGTGAAACCAAATCAGAAGCCGCTTTCTGCTGGGTCAGGCTTCAAGAGTGCAGGGGTCAGGACGGACTGCAGAGATAACAGAACTGCCTTCAAATATGTGAGTGCCAGCTTGTGAAAGAATGCTGGCCCTTTCATCAGGAGGCAGAGCTGAGACCAAGGGGATTGAAGTTCAAACTGAAGAACTTCTTAAGCACGATAGATCCTCAAACATGGAATATACCTGGTCTTGTTAAACAGGGCTTAAAATATACAAGCAAAAGGTCCATACGCATACTGGATGCCACAGCTGGATTTCAAAACATTGTAGATAAAAAAAATCAAATGAGAGGGTTTCTAAGGTCACATTCAAATCACATGTGTCTGTATAAACACATAGGCATGTTTATGTAAGTGTATACATGTGTTTCCACAGAAATATATGTACCTACCCAAGGCAAGAGCTTCTTATGTATCCACTACTGGCCTAGAACTCGTCTAGACCAGGCTACCCTCAAGCCTCCCTCTACCTCAATAGTAATTGGGTTGCAGGTGCAAGCACCATACCTCGTTCAATTATGATACTTGATCATCAAAATGATTTTTAAGTTAGTATTATGCTACAACCCATGAGGGAGAAGGGTATCGCCTTAGATTATTTCAGAGGTGTGGTCTGGATTTTGGAGATGGTCCCCTTGAGAAGAGCACACCCCCTGGATTATTTAAACTTTGATATGTGAAAGAGGAAAACTGCAGGCTTTGTATCACTATCAAACAAAGGATGGAGTCTCAGGAAGGTCAAGAAGTAACAGGAATTCTGCGCGGTGTGTTTCCACAGGAAGAGTGAGGCTGGACGGAAGCTGGAATCTCCTTCCCAAGGTCAAGGAACTGAATTGTCACCGTGTGCATAGTTCTAGTGTAGGGACAAAATGCTAGCTCCTTGCTTCTAGCAGACTCTGGAAACAAATCACACTGGAATCACAGAACTGATTGCACTGGGGAAAGTATTCTAGGGTCAGTCTTTACATTACCTGGGCTTTAAAGAGAAAGCTCTGGGAGTCCCTGTGGGCTAAGCCCTGACACCAGTCCCCAAAAGAGGAGTGTTGGTGAACAGCAGAGAAAGATTTAATCAAAGTGGCTTCATAAAGGGGCTCAGAGACTCCCAAGTCCATCTTTGGAGTCCTGACAAGAATGTTAGCTAAGGGAAGTGTTGGGGGAGGGGCGAGGGGTTTGTCCAATGTGGCTGTCCTGGGTTGTTGTTCTTGCAATCTTCATTGTTTTAAGGTAGTTGTGGGGACTGGGTGAGGTAGTTGATCTTTCTTGGAGGGGGTGCTGTAAGCTCATCAGGGGTGAAATGTCGCCCAAGCTCTGCTGAGAACGGAGTTATTATAACGGTGACTTTCAAGTGCATCTTGTTAAAGCCCACAATAATACCCCTTCTTCAGCTTATCTCTGTGCCTTCAGCCTTGAACGGGGATGAGATAGACTAGGTATGTTGGTACGCGGGTTTCTAGTTAGATATTCCTTTACTGAGTGACAAGCCTAGTGCAGTTAAACAAAACGTAGGGGAAAAACAAGAAGGGAGAGGTTTTCCTCCCACTTTAAATTGCCTTGTGGGCTTGTAGTATCACTGTTTTTTTTTTTTTTTCGGAAAAGGGAGTTTCTAGATACTTATTGTATCTGTGTGTCTGTCTCTTGGGTTATTCTTTCCCATGGGTGGGAAGAAATGCATTCTTTGTACAATACTGAGTTTCAGGTGGGACAGTAGGTCAATTTGGAGAAAGTTGAGGTAATATGGGTGAAGACAGGCCTCCACGCCGGGAACCGAGGTTCTACGTTCTGGGTGATGAGGGAAGAAGAGAGAGGGAAAGTTTATCCATAAACAATCGCCCTTCGCCTGGTCCCCTGACCATGAAAGTCCTCTCCAGCAGGTCCAGTACGGCACTGCCCGATTTCCAGATCCTCATGGAGGGCCATGTAAGGTGTGCACCTGCGATGGGATATACACACCACGGAGGGACTCATTTCTAACAAGTCCCTAGCCTCCGCATCCCGGCTGACACAGTCCTCCCTGCAGCAGATGCGTGGAGCGCAGGAGTAGGCGCGCGGGCGCTGGGCCGGCGCCTGGAGCTCTGGGCATGCTCAGTGGCGCGGGCAGGGCTCCGGGCGCGAGCCGGGCTCCCGCAGCAGCACATTCATCGGCTGCCAAGAGGAGCCGCCGGGCGCTCGCAGGCTCGCAGGCTCGCAGGCTCGCAAGGCTGGGCGCGCGCTGCTCTCGGGAGGACCGGGCCACCGAGCCAAACCCCGCCGCCGCTTCTCCGCGCGAGTCATGGCCGGCCTCGGCCACCCCTCCGCCTTCGGCCGGGCCACCCACGCGGTGGTGCGGGCTCCGCCCGAGTCCCTGTGTCGCCACGCGCTGAGACGCTCCCAGGGCGAAGAGGTGGATTTCGCTCGCGCCGAGCGCCAGCACCAGCTCTACGTGGGCGTGCTGGGCAGCAAGCTGGGGCTGCAGGTGGTGCAGCTGCCGGCCGACGAGAGCCTGCCCGACTGCGTGTTCGTGGAGGACGTGGCCGTGGTGTGCGAGGAGACCGCCCTCATCACCCGCCCCGGGGCGCCCAGCCGCAGGAAGGAGGTAACGGGCCAGCCCCGGGCAGGCGACGCGAGGGGTGCGGCCGGGGGGGGGGGGACACGCGTGGAACCTACCCCACGGGCTCAGTTCCTAACTTCCCACTGCGGGACTCGGGTCGGCGTGGCTGGAGGTGGGAGATCCGAGCCAGATAAACTTCATTGTTCACACCTCCTGGCTGTTTGGGAAGCCTTCGAGTGGATCTCGGTTGGAGTGTGATGACGCGGACTCGGGCAGGTGGCTGGGCTGGGGACCCATAGAGCCAGCGTTTCTATCTTGCAAATTACACAGCGCTGAGGACAATGCTACTCTGTTTCCTTGCCAATGAGGACCGAAAAGGGTCCTCCAGGAGGGCAGGTGGAGGCTGTGTTTGTTGGGGGAGGGTGTCCCCCAAGTCCCTCAGGGGACTCCTTTGGGCCTGGAAGAGCTGGTCAGGTGACATCACGCAGAGTCTGTGCCCAAGGACCTGAGGAGTCCAAGTTACTTTTCAGTGGCGGCGAGTGAGTCTTGAAGAACAAGAACGCGCCTGGCAAGCGAATGTGTTCAGCGTTTTGTTAGTGAGCTGTGTTTAAGTGTGTATGTGTGAATGGGTCAGGTTTGAAAAGCTGTGCTTGCTACCAGGTGTTGGTGTCTGTTTCATTAGCAGTGGGAGTTTTTTGGTTTTTTTGTTTGTTTGTTTTGTTTTGTTTTTTTAACAAGTTCTGTAATTTTAATTCCTCTCTCTCTCTCTCTCTCTGTCTCTCTCTCTCTACAATTAAAGACTGCTTTTTGTTTTCTTCAAGGGGCAGGAGAGAGTGCCTAAACACTATGCTTATCTTGTAGAACTGGCTTTAACTGCTTTAAAAATAATGTAGGTTAGTGGGAGAGAGACACAGACACACGAGATTAGATTAGATTTTAAAACGCCATCTGGCCTGGGATTTTCCTCAGTGCCAGGGAAGAGCCCAAGCTCAAGATTCTCCCTCATTCTTGGCATCCAGCTGTGTGACAAGATGCAGGTGGTTACTTTCCTATCTGGAGGGGTTTTTTTCCTCTTTTATGTCATATTGGAAGTAGTTGATTGGGCTTATGATTTAAATATGTTTATTCTACACTTGCTCTGCTCAGTGCCTGGTGAAACGCTAGAGTCTGAGTATAATCAAAGTCAACCTATTTGTTATGTAGGTAGCTCTTCTTCCCACACTACAAAAGTAATAGGCATCATTCTCTTAACCTGTCCACTTTCCCTTTGTCACCTTCCCAGATTGGCCTGAACAAATGGCTCTACTCTGCTTTAACCCAATATGAATGCAGCCATGGTGGATAGCTTCTGATGTATTCTCAGCATATGGTACTGCAATTCTTAAAAGGGTAAAATTGACGTCAAAACTCTCAAAATGGCACTCATCTGACAAGACTCTCCCTTCCTTCTCTTGACCCTCACCACCTATATTCAGTCCATCTTACTTCAGGAAGGTTCATCTCTATGGAACATAAATAATATATTATTTGTGTAATTAACTTTCCAAGTTTGGATTTTTCAATATAAGAGCTAGCCTTGGTCTTTCTCCTGTTGAGATTTTGATATTTTAAATGTCAGAATTTGACTCCACTCTGCAGTCAGCTCAGTGGCCAGTACTTGCCAAAGGTCACACAAAACTCTTGTTGTGTTTTCCTTCTCTGTGTAGGGCATTGAACTCAGGACCTTGCCCATAGAAGGTAAACATTCTCCTACTGAGCTACAGCTTCTGTTTCCCAGGGTGAAGGCAAGCCACCCCCATGCTTTAGGCTTCGTCTTAATCTATTCTGTGGCACTGCCATGACCACTACAAAGCACCTTTTCTCCTGGACACGGTCTGGGTCACTAGGGTAAGGCACTGCCTAGCAGGAGAGGAGATGGCAGTTTTGGTTGAGTAGGACTGTGTTCACTGATACCTCTCACGGCACAGTTTGCCACCTTCACAGGGGTTGATGCCTAATGAATGGATACATGGGTGGATGAGATGAAAAAAAAAGTGTTGATACTGAATGAATGAAATACTGAACAGACAAACTGATAGTAATTTCGGTTAGTTATTGATGCTCACTGGATGGATGGATGGATAGCTGATGAGCTTCAGATATAGATGCTTATTGAACGAATGATTGAATCTATCAGTAAGTCAATGAAATAGTAAACAGACAAGTGAATATCAACTCTGGGGCTCTTTTCAGATGGAGATGTAGTTGTGTGTGTTTGTATGTGTGTGTGTGTGTGTGTGTGTGTGTATAAAACTACAGCAGTTGTCTTTAAAAATCTCATCATTGTCCCTGCTTCTTTTACTTGCCTACATTTCTACACTAAGGCCAAGGTCAACTCAAATTTGATTCTTCTCTGAACAAAGGTCCTAGAGGGCCACTGCTGAGCTGGGCTTTCCTGAGCTGGGCTCTGCTTGCCTTTCCAGCTTTAGCTTCACTTCTGCATCTCTTCCTCAAAGCACCCCCACCCCGCTCCCCAACAACACTTGGCTCAGATTCTGTTCTTTATTCACAGAGCCTCCTTTCTGGATACACAGTTTTCATTTATCAGGAACACATTTATCAGGAACGACTCCTATTCTTCCTCCTCCTCCCCCCTCCTCCAACTCCCCTCCTTCTCTCCTTCCTCCCTCTCCAGTCCTCCTCCTCCTTTTCCTTCTGCCTAGCTGCCCTTGGCCTGCTGTCACCATTAATACCATTTTAGCTAACATTTATTGGATGCTTGCCACTTGGCCACAAACTGCCAGGTCTGTGTCGTGCATTTCATCAATGCTCATTCAACAGTATCGTTATTGATGAAACCGAGTCAGAGAGAGTGGATAGATTGCCCAGGGTTACAGGGTGGCTCCAGTGAAACCAGGGCCAGAACTCAGATGTCAGGATTCCAAAGCTCTGATTCCACTGTCTGTGGCATTAGACGTCACCTTTCCCAGCCTGAACTATTTTTCCTTATGAGTGCCCCCCGCCACTCCTCTCCCCTACTCCATCCCACCCTACCCTGGCCCTTCTGATGTTTCTTTATCATACCCTCCTGTCTACTGTCTTAAGAACAGGAATCTTGTCTACATTGTTTCACATTTTGTTTCCAAAGCCTAATATGCGATAGATACACAGAAAATATTTTGTAGGACAAATGTTTCCATGATTCAGCCAACCTTATTTCTCTTCCCTTATGAAGGATTTAGATTTTGTTTTAAGATAAGATCTCAGGCTGTAGCCCCAGGTGGCCTGCAGCTCCCTATGTAGCCCAGGCTATATCCACTTGTGGCAGACCTCATATCTCAGCTTCTGGAATGCTGGGATTCCAGGCATGATCCATCACACCCAGTTCTAATGATAGAGCTGGTATTTTGCAAGCATTCCAAGTTGGTGAAGTTGCAAACATTTCATTGTGAGCATGGGTAATATATAACATTAGCTCTCTCTTCTTCTCTGAATCTTGTCATTTATTACTGTTTTGTTTTTAATAAAAAGCCTTGAGAAAGTATTTCTTAATCAAAGCATTGTGCTGTATTTAATGACTTTTCTTCCTTAGAAGAGAGAACTAAGACCCAAATTAAGATAGCATTTCTGAGAAAACAAAGTGTTTTCCTCAGTTGGGTTTCCAATGATTCCTGGAACTTAGAAGCTGTGTGCGGGAAGCTACAGATTTAGTGAAGACAACTGTGTATACGGAAAGTCAGCAGACCACATTCACTAACAGCTCTGTGTCTTCCGAAGTTGGGATATTTTTAATAGGTGTAATATTTAGGAAACAAATCAACTTGGAGAAGCAGACCATGTTTCAAATGGATCCAGTGCACTTTTAAAGAGAAAAGTCAACTCTTGAATGTCAAAGTCCTACAAACAAGGTATCTAAAAGCCAAAGTAGGACTGGAGACAGTGTAAGGCTTGAGGGGCGATTTAATGATTAATTTTTTGTGTAGATAATGAGATCACAAGTTCAGGGTGTACCAGAGGGGGTGTGTCATGGCCTCTCCCTCCCTCTCACACAACCGCTAAACCATTTTCTTCACTTTCTTCTCAGAAGAGTCTTAGCACCTAAATAATGATTAACCAACAAAGCTTGTTTAAACTAAACTGTGAAATGTATCCTCTGGCCTTTCCTGCCTGGCCAGAGCAAGTTTATGCTTTCCCAGGCCAGTGGGATAATTCTGTCTAGGAGAAAACTGCCCCAATCTCTTCCTGCAGACGGATAATGGCTTTAATTATCCTCCATCATTTTCAGTTTTATGGACCTCTTTAAGAAGAAGACAGAGGCTCAGCTAAGGCAATAAACCCCAGAAGAGGAGGAATGGGAAAGTAAATGAGAGGAAGGAACAGTCCAGAACACCTCTTCACCAAGGTTTAGGCACATCATGGAAGAGGGGCAGAAAGACATAGGAGCCAGAGGCTGGGAAGAACCAGAACAGAGCAGTTTTTCCCTAACATGAAAGAACCATTGCATGTGTGAACTTAGCAGCTGTGACTGCCTGGACGGGACCAAGATGGTCAACATCTGGGAAGTGTTTCCTACCCCTGACTGACAGCTACTTAGTAATTGTTGATGGCTCCAAAGTGGCAGGGGGGTGGGGTGGGGAGGCTAGAGAGAGGCAGTTTCTTTTAAGGGTATGGCTCCTGGTAGGTTGATCACAATCCAGAGGATGGCCCACACCCAGGAGTGGACAACACATACTGGAGTTAATGGGTTTCTGAATCACAGATGGAAGAGACATGAAGCTAGGGGGTTAGGGCTGGGGATGGATCTGGGAGGAGATACTCAGAAGAGTTGGAGGCAAATATAAAAGTGCGTTGTATGAAATTCTCAAGGAATTAGTAGAACATTTGACAAGAATGTGTTTAGGTTGACAGGCCCTTATATAAGGACATATAGGCATCTGGATAGTACATTTTTGCCCTGAGTTTCTCATGTTGCCTCCAGAGGCAATATGAACATCAAGCATGTGCTGAATAATAGCAGGAAACCAAAGCCAAATACTCAAGTGTATGGACCCTGAAAGACGGCACTG